ATACTTAAGATTCAACTTGAGACTTACATTGTGGATATGCGGTCTAGCATTGAGTTTTCAGGTTTAAAAGAGATTGGAGATCTTGCAAAAAAATGGTTCAATGCAAGAAACACAAGGTGTATTCGCTGGTTTTACTTGCTTGTGACATTAGCACTAACTCTTCCAGTTGCTACTGCAACCGTTGAAAGAGCATTTTTCGGCCATGAAAATTCTGAAGAATCGATTGAGAAATCGGATGGGAGATCAATGGATGAATGATAACATGGTTATTTTTATAGAGAGAGAGATATTTGATGGTATTGGTAATGATGTTGTCATGCAACGCTTTCAGAACATGAAAAACGCGTCGAGGGATATTGTAAAGGACTGTTGTATGAAAAACTTTATGGATTAAATATAAAGTATTGTGTTTAGTAAATTCTTAAGCTTTTTAATTATGACTTTGTTGTTTTGAGGATGCCCCCATTCACACAAATCTCTGGCTTCGTCCCTACACACACACACACACACACACACACACACACACACACACACACACACACACACACACACACACACACACACACACACACACACACACACACACACACACACACACACACACACACACACACACACACACACACACACACACACACCAATATTGCAAACCCAACACCCCAAATATCCCCAATATCCCAAAATCCAACACACATTTCCGAAAATTATCAAAGAACAAAACAACCATCCTTTTGCCTTCCCCCATGGATGTGTATATATATCCAAATGAAGCAGGCAGGCACGTAAATAAAATTGTAAATACAAAGAGTTGAAAGAAGTAAACAACAGTTTGGAAGATGAACATACCGTGTCAAATCTGTCCGTTGAAATCCAATTACTTGAACGATACGCAAGGGATCCGAGATAGCGGGAGCGAGGCAAAGCACTCGGGGTTGCGCTGCTTCGGCTCCATTTAGGTTTTACCAAAGTGATCCTTGAACCCAGAAATTGACAACTCCAAGCGAAAAGCCACAGAAAACCAGAGATAGAAAAGAACTAGGGTTTCCGATCTTACGCTGTGATCGTACAATCCTCGAGCTGAGCTTTGCTGCTGGGTATTTGAATGGAAATAACGCGGGTCGCTCAGCTGGTTAGTCACTAATCCAACAGATTTAACTAACTTAATACACGATTAGCAACTCTAACTAAAAGAATCGCGTGAGTGTCACGTGAGTACAACCAGCCAATGAGTTTTAAGTAATATGGGCGGGCCTAATTCCCGAAAGCCCAACTCTTTTATCAACCCAAAGCATTTTCAACGGCCCAACGAAGATAAATAACAATGGAAGACTTGCTTCAGAAGCTTTAGGCTTGATCCGTCCGAAACGAACAACTTGGGGTTGGATTTTGGCTCAGAAGAATCAACAACGATAGCGATGGTGAAGAGAAAGTATAGCCTGCCTTTTTGTTTTTGATGGGTTTGATTGATTGATTCATTTGTTAACTTGATTGTTTGTGTAAAATCCATGAATATGATTGATTGAAATTTGTTGTGCAGAGACTAGTAGGGTTAGGGTTAGGGTTGAATCTGATAAGGATGAGGAAATTTTGGGGACTAATAAGCTTGAATTGAGAAAGTTGAAGAGGATTCGCGAAGAAGAGGAATCGCTCAAGATGTCCTACCGACGTCAAGAGGAGTTTGAACGGCAGGAACTAGAGAGACTGGCGTGTGTATCTTCTTCCTTTGCTGCCTGCCGCCTTGAAATTCAGGCAGCCGAGATATTTAGAAAACAGGTTGTTATTTTCTTTCTTTATTTCCACAGCGCTCAGCGCTCAAATCCGACTCCAACAACAACAAAAAAAAGTGACTTTTAGATAATCTTTGCAGGTGGAAAGCGCTGAAAAAGCGCGAGTTGGAAAAAACGGTTGATATCCCTTGGCTACACATTCAACCAGACGATGGAATATTACTTCATCACCACTTAAGGGAAAAGTGCCTCGAAAACGCTCTTGGTTTTTATGCCATCCTTGAAGAAGCTGACGTCTACGCAAAGCATCCTCAGAACCTGATAGGTCTGTTTCTTTCCGAATTCATCTTTATTTTTAGCAAGAATTGGGTACCCCCTGTCTTGTGTGTTTGGCAGACTAACTGCTACAGATGTTACAGAGAACTACCGTGCTCTCGCTGCTGGAAATGTTGGGTATGTTTCTTCACCCGTAGCCGCCCAAATCAAACTCAACCTGATACTAGTACAAGTACAGGATCATGTTCAGGCCGGACATTGGAATCTTTGGCAAAGAATTGGACTGCTTCATCAGGGCGAGAAAGTCGGTGTTAAACAATTACTAGAGTATTTGTGCAGCGGGCGCCAAGACCGGATACAAGATCATCGAGTACAGACTCGATCCTTGTCCAGACAACTTAAAGGTATAAAAATTAGCCTGTGATATATGTTCATCTATTACTCTCTTCATTCTACTCTACTCAAATGTCTTGGTTTCAATTTGTGGTACAGGATGGTCCTTTGGTTCCTTTGTAAGCTGTACAAGGACGGAGCCATGGAGGTGCAGAGATTCGCTCTATAATTATGATCTGTCGGTAGTTGAGGGTAGGGATCTCTCTTTATGTTGCTACTTTGTTATTGTTTGTAACTTTGATTCCCCAAGGCACTCCAGCCTCCCTGTGTACTGCATGTTTGTGTTGGTACCTGCCATTTCGCGTCGGCGAGGAACTGGTTGAGATGTATATTCCTGAGCTTCGTTGATTTGGGTCGTAAAGTCCAGATCGTGCTGTTTCGCCTATACAAACGTTACGGAACCAAACTAGATTGGGTCAACCAATTCATCGATTTTGGTTTAGGGATCCAAACCAGTTGTGCTGAATATAACCCAAGCTGACCAAATTAAGTATCAAACAATGACAGCATGGATTAATGTGATCTTGGAAACCTTGAAATCTTAGAGAGGTCTCCAAGCTGCTAATACATAAGGTCACAGAAATATGAACAGCCATGGAATATGTGCACCCCCACTTGGGGCCGGAAAGACATCGACACATTTGCAGCTACAGCCCGAGGCGAAAAAAAAAAAAATCAAAAAAACAAACAATAATTCCACAAGAATGTCACAGCTCTGACAGAATGGCAGGGATGTAATGGGACAACTCGGCCGTCAGAGATTGAAATCCATTCACAAGCTGAGTGTGGAACTCCTGAATCTTCCGCCGATCAATCTGAAGTGCACACGGATGGCACGCTTGCATACGGCCATGAATTCAAGGAGTGCAGCAATGAGTTGCTGCAGTTCCTGGGACCGCAACCTTGTTGCAGGCTCACCCGAACGGAATGCAGTGCAACACACTCAGTACCCCACTGGTTGACCTGCAAATGGAAAGTAAGAAAATCCGATCAGCAAACGAAATTGAGTCATGGAGTCAGCAGCAGATGAGGTTATTGGGTTTAGAGAAACATAGGTTGAGAACGGAATTCCACCTGAACGGCAAACACTGCCTTGAAGAATTCTCTGGAGGCTCTGGAGACGTGGAAGTTGATCCCCTTCAGAACTGCGAGGCTCTTCAAGTTCATTTGTAAAGCAGCTGTCCGAGTTTCAATCATTCAATGGCATTTTCTACTGGGAGAACTCAAGCGATTTCGGATTTGGTAACTAAAAGCCTGTTTCACAAGAGCTGGGAATGAACCTTCAGTCTGAAGAAACAGTCCGCCGCTTCCACTGGTCTTCAATCCACCTTGAGTCTTTCCGTTTTTTTGTAAATGGTGTATCAAACAAGAAACGATCAAAGACTCGTGCACGAACACTTCCAGTGGAAAGAGAAAGATCTCTCCCTTTGCTTCCCAAATCTTCATCTTATGACTGGATCAACAGCAGTTATTTGCAGGTAGCAGACTCCAGGCTGCAATTCATCCGCCTTGACCTGCCTAGAATCGGAATAATGTGTAACGTATGATGCCATCCCATCCTAGATTCGTATACGTGACTAAGTTCTCCATTAATACCTAGCCTTACATCGCGGGCTCCTGTATACATATCCTCTCTATCCAACTTTCCGAATCTATCACCGTTAAAACCCCACCCTATAGTATGTCGCATCAGTGAATGGAATTGACTTGATTCTGCTCAAGGATTGACTCATAGATATTGTAGCATCGTGTGACATTTACTCAGCTGTCCATACGCCCTCCTGCTTTTATAAACTGGAATAACAAGTCTATGCTCAGAAATGAAAGAGTTCAGCTTGAGAAAACAGTTTATTTGTTGCGAGTATGAAGGTACTGTCACGCAGAGTCAATGTAAGTTTGATGCACATATCCCTCTACCTCAGCTCAGATGTCTCAGAGCGTGACCATTGATGGACCATCGGAACAATTTTGCGTAGAGCAGTTAGTGTCGTTGCTCAAACACCATCATTTCCGCAACAAGGGCCAGAGACAGATTAAAACAAACGTTGAGTATAGTAAAGTAGCGAGCACTTCTCATTAAAAACAGATAAATTTTGGAATGGAAAATGTTTAAGGCAGGGTTGCACGGCGAAAAACCAATTACCTCATTACAATACAACCACTACGCCGGCAATTCACGGGTAGGAGTGGGTTGGGTTGGTGTGCTCAGGGGGACGTCAGCCACAGAGGAGCGGGCGCCATGTTCGTGTATGTAGCGGCGACAGAGTATGTAATGCCAGAGTGAAGCATATTAGGCTGAAGACGTGGCATACAGGGGGCAAGAAAGTGCGCAAGCAAGTTCATCAGATAGCCTTTATCGGCAGAGCAAAGCTGGATATCTACCGGATGTCTCGGAGTGAGGTCAATAGTCAAGAGCCCTGGCAAAACAATTGGATGTTGGCAGGTATGTGAAGTGCATGGACATTAAATCGTAATATCTCCGTGCATTCTCCGACAATTGTCCAGAAATACGAGATAACAAGAAATAACTTAGGGCAGAATCCGCATTTCGGGACTTCTCTCCCACACGAGGGGGGGAGAGGATTGTTTCCCGAAATTGGGTTGCCCTAAGTTTTTCTTGTTCATCTGAGTTCTGACAAATGTTGAGATGAGGAGAATATTAGATTTATGTTGTAATACTGCCACAAATTGTTTTGCAGGGCTCTTTGATGACTATGGATAGATATGCTGCTGCCGAAAGCTTCTATAGACTTGCTATGGCATTTGCCCCTGTCCCAGATCTTCACATAATGTGGTTACTGCATCTATGTGACGCACATCAGGAAATGCAGTCTTGGGCTGAAGCTGCTCAGTGTGCCGTTGCTGTGGCTGGTATTGTAATGCAGGTAATTGGTTTTTTCGCCGTGCAACCTCTGCCTTAAACATTTTTCCATTCCCAAAATCTGTTATCTGTTTTTTAAGTGCAGAAGTGCTCGCTACTTTACTATTAGCTAACGGTTTGTTTTAATCTTGTGTAGGCCCTTGTTGCGAGAAATGATGGTGTTTGGAGCAAAGACCACATAACTGCTCTACGCAAAATTTGTCCGATGGTCAGCAATGAGATCAGCTCTGAGACATCTGCAGCTGAGGTAGAGGGATATGGTGCATCAAAACTTACCATTGACTCTGCCGTGAAGTACCTTCAACTCGCAAATAAACTGTTTTCTCAAGCTGAACTCTTTCATTTCTGTGCAAGCATACTGGAACTTGTTATTCCAGTTTATAAAAGCAGGAGGGCGTATGGACAGCTGAGTAAATGTCACACGATGCTTACCAATATCTATGAGTCAATCCTTGAGCAGGAATCAAGTCCAATTCCATTCACTGATGCGACATACTATAGGGTGGGGTTTTACGGTGATAGATTCGGAAAGTTGGATAGAGAGGAATATGTATACAGGGAGCCCCGCGATGTAAGGCTAGGTGATATAATGGAGAAACTTAGTCACGTATACGAATCTAGGATGGATGGCAATCATACGTTACACATTATTCCAGATTCTAGGCAGGTCAAGGCGGATGAATTGCAGCCTGGAGTCTGCTACCTGCAAATAACTGCTGTTGATCCAGTCATGGAAGATGAAGATTTGGGAAGCAGAAGGGAGAGAATCTTTTCTCTTTCCACTGGAAGTGTTCGTGCACGAGTCTTTGATCGTTTCTTGTTTGATACACCATTTACAAAAAACGGAAAGACTCAAGGTGGATTGGAAGACCAGTGGAAGCGGCGGACTGTTCTTCAGACTGAAGGTTCATTCCCAGCTCTTGTGAACAGGCTTTTAGTTACCAAATCCGAATCGCTTGAGTTCTCGCCAGTAGAAAATGCCATTGGAATGATTGAAACTCGGACAGCTGCTTTACGAAATGAACTTGAAGAGCCTCGCAGTTCTGAAGGGGATCAACTTCCACGTCTCCAGAGCCTCCAGAGAATTCTTCAAGGCAGTGTTGCCGTTCAGGTGGAATTCCGTTCTCAACCTATGTTTCTCTAAACCCAATAACTCATCTGCTGCTGACTCCATGACTCAATTTCGTTTGCTGATCGGATTTTCTTACTTTCCATTTGCAGGTCAACAGTGGGGTACTGAGTGTGTGCACTGCATTCCTGTCGGGTGAGCCTGCAACAAGGTTGCGGTCCCAGGAACTGCAGCAACTCATTGCTGCACTCCTTGAATTCATGGCCGTATGCAAGCGTGCCATCCGTGTGCACTTCAGATTGATCGGCGAGGAAGATCAGGAGTTCCACACTCAGCTTGTGAATGGATTTCAATCTCTGACGGCCGAGTTGTCCCATTACATCCCTGCCATTCTGTCAGAGCTGTGACATTCTTGTGGAATTATTGTTTGTTTTTTGATTTTTTTTTTCGCCTCGGGCTGTAGCTGCAATGTGTCGATGTCTTTCCGGCCCCAAGTGGGGGTGCACATATTCCATGGCTGTTCATATTTCTGTGACCTTATGTATTAGCAGCTTGGAGACCTCTCTAAGATTTCAAGGTTTCCAAGATCACATTAATCCATGCTGTCATTGTTTGATACTTAATTTGGTCAGCTTGGGTTATATTCAGCACACTGGTTTGGATCCCTAAACACCAAAATCGATGAATTGGTTGACCCAATCTAGTTGGTTCCGTAACGTTTGTATAGGCGAAACAGCACGATCTGGACTTTACGACCCAAATCAACGAAGCTCAGGAATACATCTCAACCAGTTCCTCGCCGAGCGAAATGGAGGTACCAACACAAACATGCAGTACACAGGGTGAGGCTGGAGTGCCTTGTGGGAATCAAAGTTACAAACAATAACAAAGTAGCAACATAAAGAGAGATCCCTACCCTCAACTACCGACAGATCATAATTAGAGCGAACTCTGCACCTCCATGTAACTCCCGTCCTTGTACAGCTTACAAAGGAACCAAGGACCATCCTGTACACAAATTGAAACCAAGACATTTTGAGTAGAATGAAGAGAGTAATAGATGAACATATATCACAGGCTAATTTTTATACCTTTAAGTTGTCTGGACAAGGATCGAGTCTGTACTCGATGATCTTGTATCCGGTCTTGGCGCCCGCTGCACAATACTCTAGTAATTGTTTAACACCGACTTTCTCGCCCTGATGAAGCACGTCCAATTCTTTGCCAAAGATCCAATGTCCGGCCTGAACATGATCTGTACTTGTACTAGTATCAGGTTGAGTTTGATTTGGGCGGCTACGGGTGAAGAAATACCCAACATTTCCAGCAGCGAGAGCACGGTAGTTCTCTGTAACATCTGTAGCAGTTAGTCTGCCAAACACAGACAGGGGTACCCAATTCTTGCTAAAAATAAAGATGAATTCGGAAAGAAACAGACCTATCAGGTTCTGAGGATGCTTTGCGTAGACGTCAGCTTCTTCAAGGATGGCATAAAAACCAAGAGCGTTTTCGAGGCACTTTTCCCTTAAGTGGTGATGAAGTAATATTCCATCGTCTGGGTTGAATGTGTAGCCAAGGGATATCAACCGTTTTTCCAACTCGCGCTTTTTCAGCGCTTCCACCTGCAAAGATTATCTAAAAGTCACTTTTTTTTGTTGTTGTTGGAGTCGGATTTGAGCGCTGAGCGCTGTGGAAATAAAGAAAGAAAATAACAACCTGTTTTCTAAATATCTCGGCTGCCTGAATTTCAAGGCGGCAGGCAGCAAAGGAAGAAGATACACACGCCAGTCTCTCTAGTTCCTGCCGTTCAAACTCCTCTTGACGTCGGTAGGACATCTTGAGCGATTCCTCTTCTTCGCGAATCCTCTTCAACTTTCTCAATTCAAGCTTATTAGTCCCCAAAATTTCCTCATCCTTATCAGATTCAACCCTAACCCTAACCCTACTAGTCTCTGCACAACAAATCAATCAATCATATTCATGGATTTTACACAAACAATCAAGTTAACAAATGAATCAATCAATCAACCCATCAAAAACAAAAAGGCAGGCTTACTTCTCTTCACCATCGCTATCGTTGTTGATTCTTCTGAGCCAAAATCCAACCCCAAGTTGTTCGTTTCGGACGGATCAAGCCTAAAGCTTCTGAAGCAAGTCTTCCATTGTTATTTATCTTCGTTGGGCCGTTGAAAATGCTTTGGGTTGATAAAAGAGTTGGGCTTTCGGGAATTAGGCCCGCCCATATTACTTAAAACTCATTGGCTGGTTGTACTCACGTGACACTCACGCGATTCTTTTAGTTAGAGTTGCTAATCGTGTATTAAGTTAGTTAAATCTGTTGGATTAGTGACTAACCAGCTGAGCGACCCGCG